TGAATATATGTAAATATTTATCTTCATATATCCTGTTACAGTACATTATAAAATTGCATACCGATTGAGGGTAAATGGACTTAAAATATTCTAAACTCTTTATATTGTGTGGGAGAAATATAAAGCTATTAATTTACATTAGATTTTTATAAGTAAAGATGGCATATGACCCTTGATTCTTAAAAAAATTATAAATAAGAAAGCTCCTAGAAAATAGAACAGTATCTTTGTGACCAAGGGCTAGGAAAATATTTTTAAATAGGATATAAAAAGCATTGATCCAAAGGAAAGAATTGATGAATTGATTACTCTAAAAGTAGCAACCATGTTCACCTGTGTAATAATAAAAAAGTACAAAACTGCAGTACAGAGTTAGAAAAGATATTTGTAACATGTATAACTAATAAAGGACTCATATCCATATCTACAAATCAGTGAGAAAAAGACTCTTAACCCAGTGGGAAATTGAGCAAGAGATTTGAGCAAAGTATTCCCAAAGGAGGAGATTGAAATTGCCTCAAACCTGTGATAATGTATTCTAGTTCATACATCAGAAAAATGCATGTTGAAACCATGGTGAGACACCACTGCACACCTACACAGTAGTTTAAATTAAGGCTAATACCAACTGTTGATGAGGATGTGAAGTAACAGGAATTCTCCTGTCTGTTGTGGTAATAACAACTACACTAGTCACTTTGGGAAAAAGTCAGGTAAATCCTATGAACAGCAGTTCCATTCATGTATGTGTGACCCAACAAAATTGTGCTCATAAAAACGTAATTAACTGTAGCCCAAAACTAAAATAAGTCATATTAATAGTTAAAGAGATCAATTATGATGTATTCTGACAAATATGCAGCAGTGAACTACTTTGCTAAGAAAACGTGAATTTCTCTGAGGAAAAGAAGCAAGATAAAAATCATACATGCTATAAGATTCCATTTGTGTAAAGGACTTAACTAATATATGATATTAGAAATAAAAATAATGGAAATAAGTTTGAGAGAGCAGAAAGGTGGTTGGGAGGGCATGAGGGTGCACATAAGGTACTATTTTCATCCAAGGTATATTCAATTTTTGATCATCCATCAAGCTATACATTTATGGTCTATGTATTTTTCTGTGTATAGTGTTGCTTCAATTAAAACAATTATTTATAGCAAAAAAGTAATTGTGAGGATCCTTAATAATCTGTGAGATTAATGAGGGCTTAAATATAAAGTAATATCCTCCTTAGGATTAAAGAAATTCTCCCCTTTTATTGGGAATATGCAATAACTTTTTATTAGTATAATTTTGACATACATAATGATCACATTCATCATAGGAAGTTTGTACCTCTACATAATGTATCTTTTTTTTCCTCATTCCCCTCCCTCCCCTTCAATCCTGGGTCTCTATTGACCTGTTTCTCTCCTCTGATAAATTCTGAACTCCTTGGGAGCTGGGCCCATTGTTCTTATCCTTGCCTGACAGGGTGGACTGACACTGAGTATGTGTGGAATTCATGAAATAATGTACTAACATTAGAAATGCATTTCTTTTCCCAGGTCAAGAAAACAACAGAAGCCACCTTGCAGACAATACAAGATATGGTGACCATTGAGGACTATGATGTGTCCGAGTGCTTCCAGCACAGCCGCTCCACAGAATCTGTGAAGTCCACCGTCTCTGAGACCTACCTGAGTAAGCCCAGCATCGCCAAAAGAAGAGCAAACCAGCAGGAGACTGAGCAGTTCTACTTCATGGTGCGCCATTGCTCCCCTGGCCATTCCTGACAGAAATCAGATCTGGGCTTCCCCCGTGCTGCTTTTGCAGCTGCCTTGAAATCATCAGAGTACTTGATTGAAATGTGGACTCCCTGGCCCCCTTGGAGTTTCTGATTTAGTCAGTCTGGATAAATTTAGGAGTTAGTGTAGGAGTTAGAAATGCTCTAAAACAAGACTTTTAAAGTTTAATGTACATACATCAGCAAGAGAGCTTGTTAAAATGTAGGTTCTGGTTGCCATAGGTCAAGGGAGGAATGGGATCTGTGGCGCTGCACCTCATATAGGCTCACAGGTGATGGCTGATGATGCTGGACTGCAGATACAGCTTGGGTCCCAAAATTCTAGGATCTAGAAGATAAAAGGGACTAGACTTCAGATCTCATATGAGAAATTCCTTAACATTAAATTTTATTTTTAAAGTATAAATTGATCTTGCCTTTTGCAGAAACTCAGAGAATATTTGGAAGGCAGTAATCTCATCACAAAACTTCAAGCTAAACATGACTTGCTGCAAAGGACTCTTGGAGAAGGTCAGCCATTTGCAATAGATGAGATGATGACTTGGATTATATAGTGTGTCATGAACATGCTCCATTAAGAGTATGAATCATATGTTTGTGGCTTAAGCAGAAACACTACATGTTTAGATTTGGTTTTATCTGTGTCTGTGATAATGAAGTTTTCTCCCTGGAACTATTTTCTTTTTAAGCGTGTTAGTAAACTTGAGGAAGCATAGTTAGTCTGGGGAGGGCTGAGGAACTATGCCAGAGCTCATGAGTGATCTTTAGAACATAGCACTCTTAATGGGAAGAGAGTCTGGAGGAGCTGCCCCTGCTTCTGTGTTTGCACCCCAGCCACTATTTTCCTTCTCTTCTTGGACTTCTCCACCCTCCTGCACCACTCCTGTTTGGGTTTTTTTGTTTCTTTTTTTTTGGTACTGGGGATCGAACTTGGGACCTTATGCTTGCGAAGCAGGCGGCGGAACCACTGAGCTAAATCCCCAGCCCTACTCCTGTTAGTTTTAATGGGCTGGTATTTGTTGTTTGCTCTGTTGCCTTTTTGGACTCTAGAAACCAGCTAAACCAGTTTGTATGATTTTTTTTTCTTTTCATTAGATATTGTTGGTAGTTGAGAAATAATCCAATAGTATACAGTATGCAGTATCTAATAATAAAAACAATAGCAAGAGATAATATTTATGTAAGATTTTCTCTGTGCCAGGCATTGTTCTGAGCAGTATTCTTGAGTGGGCACTATTAATGCCCTCATTTTTGTGACTTTTTTTTTTTTTTTTTGGTACCGGGGATTGAACTCGGGTCCTTGTGCTTGTGTAGCAGGCAGCAAAAACACTGAGCTAAATCCCCCGCCCTAATTCCCTCATTTTTATAAATGAAGAAACTAAGGGGAAAATTGACTATAGACAAAGGGATTATATAAATGCTATTATTTCTTTCTTTTTCGGTACCAGGGATCGAACTCAGGAACTTGCGCTTGTGAGGCAGGTGACAGAACCACTGAGCTAAATCCCTGGTCCAATTATTTCTTTTTTTGTCTTCATGAAATTTAAAAGGAAAAAAAATATAGGCAAAGGCCCTGTCTTAAGTGCCTCTGAGTCTACAATTTTAATTATATTTTATTCATACTAGATCCCACTGGAAGTTACAGATAAATAAAAGAAAATACAAAAGGAGTGGGAAATGAGGTGTGAGTTACTCAGGTCAAGAAAAGATTGCCACTGTTATACCTCAACTCTTGCCTCCTGTCGTTCTGGAACCTTCCTTGCCTACAAGACAGTATTTCCAATATCTATCTTATGGTTTCCTCCAAAGAATCCATCATCCTCGGAGAATTTGACCACATGGAAAAAAGTTACCATCACTTAAGTCTCCGGGTCTTATATAGTTAAGATGGCAGACACGGGTCCGGGATTTAGCTCAGTGGTTTCGCCACCTGCTATGCAAGCGCAAGGACCCAAGTTCAATCCCCGGTACCAAAAAAAAAAAAAAGATGCAGACACCAAGCTAAAAGATCAATTTTACCTAAGAAGAAAAAAATATTCACGATATGGCCATAATTCATATGTCTTGCTGCTAGGTGGCTCTGAATTACTGGTGGTATGTGCGTGACTGTCTCGTTGGGTGGCATGGGTCAGTCCCATCCAGTGGTACAAGCCAGTGGGAATGTATTAAACCACTAAAACGTGTAAAAGAATAAAATAACCAGAGGCAATGTATGAATCTTCATTAAATTCTGAATCAAAAAGCAAGTTATGAAAAATATCTTTTGCATAATAGAAAATTAAATGTAGACTATATTAAATGATATTAGTGACATAATGTTAATTTTTCTATGTATGATTATGGTACTATGGTTATAAAAAAGAATGGTCCCTGAAAGGTCATAATGTCTATAGCTTACTTTCACATGATTCTAAAAAAAAAAAAAAAGACACATATGGAGGAATAAAGCCAATTTTATAAGTATTAACAATTGAGAAATCTAAATGAAGAGTATAAGGATGTTCCTTGTACTGTTCTTTCAACTATTCTATAGATTTAAATTTTTTTTTTTAAAAGAAGCCTTTTCATCTTTGAGTATTTTTCTTACTTGATGAATTGGCTCCCCTTTTTTTCTTTTTCCCTCATAGTATCATGTAAATTCTTTTTTTCCTTTTTTCACAAATGCCTCATAGTTCAAGCAGTGCCCTCAAGGTCATTTACCAGCCTCAAAGTATAAATTACCCTAAGTGTAGAATGCTTACAGGCACAAAATCCTTTCCTACGAGAGTGGATACCACTTTAGAAATTATGAGTTTGCAAGGATTAAGTAAGGGGTGCATTCAGTCTTGGTGATGTGTGCAGATGTGTGTTAATGTGGATTGGAGTCATGTTCTGAAACTTTTATGGTACTCACACAGTATAAATTCTCTATGTCTCCCAGAAAGAAAACCCCAACAGTTCATGTTATTTTACATGTTATTCTTGGATAGGGCCATATTTTGGCCAGTTTGCTGAATCCTTACTCCAGATTCTGTCTTTTGCTGTTGCCCTATCCTATATAAAGCTGTATTATACCTTTTAAACTCTGAGCCAGGATTCCTTTATTCTTTCTTTCAGTGAGTTCTAGTGCGCTAGTGATATAGCTTCATTCAGGTGCTCGAGACCTTCACTGGTCTCAGTTTATTCTGCAGCTGGAACTGGATGGCTTTCTCCTGGTGGCAGCAGTCCACAATGGCCCCTGTCCCCTGGTTATAGACCCTTCTGCTCCCCAGTCCTGACCATCTTGCAGGCTTGGCAGCACACCAGTTGCTGATCACTTCCTGGGTTTGACACTCAGAGAAAAGTTGAGTATGGGAGACGTGCCCTACCTTTTAGTTTGATCACTGTGAGCCTGCTGGCTTTCCACACAATCCCTATTCTCATTAATAGGTTTACACCAAAAGAGACTAGGAGAGTTAATGGTTCCTGGCCCATAGTGAAGTAATCCAATGGTGGACCTTTAGGAAAGAATCCAGGCCCCTATTTGGTTAAATAAGGTTAGTAGTACAGAACTTAATGGTGTGTTTGGGGACAGTCTTGAGTTTTTAGGTAGAAATCACCTCACTAAATAGTACTAGACTCACTGCTGCAAAAACTGCCTTCACAGTAAAACAAACAGAGCCTAACCCGGGGATTTAGCAGTTGATCGTACACAGCTGAAACTGTAACTACAGACATGTGTTTGGCCTGTCTTACTGCTAACTTTTGGCAGGCTACCAGTGGCCCAGTAAGTTCTTTGATTTACAGCATTGTGAAGCAGCTACATCAGGCTCTTAAAGTGGCACTGTCAAAATTCAGAATTTTAAGTCTTTGAAAATTATTGGAATAGAAACACAGAATGAACTGTTAAACCATACTAATCATCGTCATCTTCATCCCTCCACAACATCACTATATCTTTGTGTGGTGTCACTTATTTTTAAATTGAGGTTAAACTGACCCAGTAAATGAGAGATATATCCATAACCCTGGGGCATGGAAAGGTATTTTTCATTTTCAGTAATGAGCCTAATGTTCACATTGGCTTCTTGCATACACCATTTGGAGTTAAGAGGGTGTAAATATCTGTGTAATTTTGCTAAACAAAGAAAATCTGACAGTGGGAACTGAGCTCCATATTACGTTATTTCTTGCCCTGGGCATGAAGTTTCTGACAAAGGAATTAAATAGGTTGTCTTCACACAATCCTTTGTCTGTCTTTGAGTAGGAGTACAAATATACTTTCAAAAGAGAAGCCGATTGTGAATAATTATTTCTTTTTAGAAAAGCACTGCAGTAGTTGGTATTCTTAAGGAAGAGAAAGGGCTGGAAAGTAATGTCAAAAATCCTCATAGGTCATTCATTAGGGAACAAATCCAGGGTGTCTCTGTCTAGTTGGAGCTATTTATATTTTAAATATTTTCTCTTCCTTTTTTTTCTCAAGTTGCCCCCAAACTTATTTTGATTATTTTATATAGAGATAAAATACGTTTAGATACAAAGAATAATTCATGTCATAATTCTCAAGTAAAATGTTAGAGTAGTTGAGGCTGATGTTGTACCAAGAACAAGTTAATCTTGGGTCACTTTTTCCTCCAAATGGCTTACATGTATGTGTGTATGAGGGAGGGTCTGTTGTTTTTAATAATTAAGTAGGCTCTCAAAGAAAGTGATTGAAATCTAATCCTCAGACCTTTCACATTTCTCTGGGAAGGAGAGTCATCTAAGCTTGTGTGTTATTGATCTATTAATGATCATACTGATTAAAAAACAAAACCTCATTTGTCAGTTGGAAAACATGCAGGACTGTTAACTGAATAAATACTGGGTGTGGTAGTGTAGTTGTGCTATGAATGATAGTACTTGCAAAGCTTGCTCTCAGTTCATTATTCAAAATGTATCTTTCGTAGGTTTTTAATTTTTTATACTACTAACCATAGATGAATGGAATAAAATTATTTAAAAGCAACTTAAGAATCTTTTTCTAAATCTAGGTAATAATTGGTTGAGATTTATTTTTAACAAAAATAGTACAATTTCCAATTTATAAAATATTTCATTCCAAAGGAATTATCATTAGGATTAAATCACTTGAAAACAATTAACCTGTTATTCAGTTAAATGTACAGATATTTAATAATTTACATATTCATGTAATTTATTAAACTTATTAAAATCTTCAGTATTTTGTATTTGGGCTTAGCCACATGAGGCAGACAGAAGTTTAAGCTGTGTATGTATTTTCTAGCATCATTCAAAGTATTTTCCAGGAAAAAAAGACTTTCTATTTCTAAAGGTAATACAATGTAGAGCTTGGGAGCACAGGTCTGGAATCATAACAGACCTGGACCCTAGGGCCCGGCCATCCCAAGCTAGTATCATGGCCTTGGGCAGGTCATTTTTCTATGCACTCATTCTCTTCTGTAAAATAAGAACAATAATAGAAGCTACTTCATTAGGTGATTACGAAAATTATGAGTTAAAATATTTAACATAGTGTTCAGAATACTTTAGAGCACTTATTACCTAATTAAAGCTTAGAATATTGTCTAGTAAGTATTAAATATTATTGCTGTTTTTATTGTTGTTACTAATGTGTATTAGATCAGCCATAATGAAATGTGCAGCGTGACAGTACAATACAGAGACAGTTTCTCTATCAACTCTGGTCATTTTACTGGATCTCCATGGGTGACCTCTGCCAGCTCCTGTGGCCCCAACAAAACCTAAACGACAGAGTCGCTCACATCCTTATCTCAAGTGCAGTCTTTTCTCTGTGCCTTAACCCTGTCTAGCCACCATCCTGTTGGACACTTTTCATTAGAGTATCAAGGCACCCGCACCATGCTGAGCCCACTGTCTGTCCCTCTACTTTACAGTAGATTTTCTTTTCCATTCATGAATAGCTACATATTTTTCTGGAGTTCTGCGTACACCTCTCCTAAGTAGCAGAAGGCCAGCAAAAGGAGAAGGGGCTTGTAGTTAAATGACAGATGGGACTAGGTAGAAGAGGGGGAATCAGGTTCTTCTCCTTTCCCCACATCCCTACTCCAAGTCTGGCCAAGAACTGATTTTGTCAAGATGTACAGTGGCCTGGACTATGTTGAGAACGGTATTCTCTGATATTATCTGTTCTCCCTAGTTTAATAAATAAATACTAATCAAATACCTTATGTTACTTGTTCTTCAAAAGTAAGTAATAAAATGAAAGCCTCTGTGGGAGCCTGGGAGTATTCATTCACTGTTCCCCACAAGCCAGCTTGCCCTTTGGTTGTTACACTGGTCTTGCCCTGTAAGTCTGAATCTCCCTGTTCTGATACAGTGGGCTAGTCTCACATATTTGTGCTGCCACATGACCTTCTGCTATCAGTTATATTTTCAAACTCTATCAGGACTATACCATCATTTTGCAAACAAATCAGCTGAATGGTTCAAGTCTCTCACACCTCTTCTCATTGCTCCACCCTGAATGTAAGAAAGAGCAGGCAGCAGCCAGCGACACATGCAAACTTAAAATTAGTGCAGATTGTGAGAGTGCTATAAAAATTCAGTCCTGTTATTTAAAGCAACTCGAGAAGCCCAAATGTAAAAGCAGCGCATGTTTTAAATGACAGAATTCTATGAAAGGCTTTTAGCTTACAAGTTACTGGAATATAGTATCATTTAATGTCCTTGTACATTATTATCTGTAAATGTCATTTCTGATTATAGAATACAGCTTCTGTCCCAGTCCCCTGATTTCATGTCAAAGGGAAAATGAATTCTCTCAGCCCTGTTTAACCTACTCCTCCCCAAGAAGAATCAGTCAAGACAGAAGAAATAACATGCAAATCTGGGATATCTTTCATTTATATTTTGTGTTTTGAACTGAGTTATGATCAAGAAACTTTCTAGTTTGTTTTTTAAATCTGCCTTTTCAAGGCCGGATTTAGCTCAGTGGTTCAGCTGCCTGCCTCGCAAGTGTAAGGACCCAAGTTCGATCCCTGGTACCAAAAATAAATAAATAAATAAATAAATATTTTTAAAACCTTCCTTTTCAAATTGTCACATGAAACGTTTCTCTAAGCTATAGAATTCATTAAATTTTATGGATAAATTTTATGAAATATTGACTCTGAATTACTTGTTTATCTTCATATGCTATTCTCACATTTACCACCATAAAATGTATGTTATTATAAACTCAGCATCCTAAAATAAGGAACAGATGATACAAAAGATTACTAAATATATCCCACTGATTCCATTCAGCTTACTTATTTTAATTTTTTGTTTTTGCAGGTCACAAAGCTGAATATATGACTACAAGGTAGGAAGATATTTTGTCATAATTCATAGTGTATCTCAGTTTCTTTTCTCTTTAACAATAAGCAACCATTTAAATGCTACAGAAATGAACATACTCAGTTAATGTGCATGGAAGATTGAGCTTGACAAAGCACAGCAACATGAAATGCTTGTGGTCCTTACCACAGCAGATATCCTATGGTATACCAAAGGGTTTCCAATAGAATTGTAAAGCTGTTTAATAAGCAGAGTCAGTAACAAAGACCTAAGGTAAACAGGCTTGGTTTATCTAATCCAAAGCACATTAAATCTTTAGAAATAGCCTGATAGGACTTTTGCTTTGATAATTTAGTTAACAACATGAGGTATATATCTACTGCATTAGTATGTAGAAACTATTAATTACATCCTGTTCTATTCTGTCTTATGCATATCACTTCTAAAAATTAGAGCTATGTTAAATACTCAGGATATTTTGGTATCTACCACTTCTTATTTCACTTTTAAAAGTTAACTTTTACCACTAAAAATAATAGTCCACATTTTTAAATCACTAATAGAAGCATTTTTAAGTCAGCACTGAGAAAGAAGAGCTATTCTAAAAGGAGATTCTGATTTGAGCTGGGGAGAATTTATGGTGGGTGTTATTTTTCTATGACACCATTTGTGCAACATCTAGAAATTATTCTAGTTAACTTAGCAAGCCTTTGAGCTTTCAAAGTCGAGTTGTGTTTGAGGTCAAAGGCATTGATAACTTCAGTACATCTGACAAGTTGATTTTCAAGGTTCTATAGTGTTATTGTTGGGCACTTTATTCATAAAGAAGCCCCTCTTCTTGGTGAATCAACTGGAAATACTGAGCTACTGACTTTTCTAAACTTAGCAAAAGAAAAAATGACATTTTTCTTCATTTCATAAGTGACAAAGAGGAATATTACCTCTATGTAATAATATGAAGCTTGTGGAGCTTTTTCATGTATAGTATCTCTTTGCACTGTCAACTATTTTGCCTGTTATTTCTAGGACATATTTAATATAAGTCACTTTAAAATATTTTTTAAATATTCATTCATATATTCAAATATATGAATTTGTAATGAGAATTATAATTGTCAAATACCCTAGGATATTCACATAATACTGATAGTGCTTCCTCTCATGAGTATCTCATACAAGAATCTAAACTACCAGTGAGGTGTGTGGTAGGCATAGAGCCAGAAAGAGTCATGTAGTTGGAATGTTATATGGTCCACGTTCAGTTCACCTGATGTGGGCACAGTAGAGTTAGAACCATTGACCCACCAGTGTGCCTAATAACCTACCTCTGGAGGGCCAGGATTTAGCTCAGTGGTGGCACCACCTGCCTCACAAGTGCAAGGTCCTGAATTCGATCCCCAGTACCAAAAAAAAAATAACCCACCTCTGCCATGGAAATGACTTTGATAACCACTCAGGTAGTTCGCTTTACTCCCAAGCCCCTCTCAGCAACTTTAGTTTCTTTATATTTGCCTCATATTTTAGATCCTTGGAACAGGCAATTTTCAGGCCTTTGGTAGAAGTATCAAAAAACATCCATCCCTCTGATAGTCCCAGCCAAGGATTACTCTGTCTACCAGTCATGCAGGAACAATTATCCAGTGCCATTGGAAGCTTTGGCTCTAGCTACAAGATTTGCTTGTTGGATGAACCAGTGACCAAATTCTGATGCCCTTACCTTCACCTACTCCTGATATCATGAAATGTAGAGCTCTGTTGGGTCCTGTAATAAGCATATTTTCTAGTTTTGGTATTTGATGTTTTGATCTCTTGGGTCTTACAAACCCTGAAGGCACCACCTCTCTCGGCTGAAGCAATTCTTAGAGATAGTAAAGACCAGTTTACAAATACACCTTTTATATGTATACTAGCTAATCCAAAGCCCATAATCCCAACTACCCCCTTTATCAGACTCCTACCTTCAGAGCCACTGTTCCCTTGCCTTTACACCCCAGGGCCAGACAACTAGAAATAGCCCCAGTACCCCAGAGCCCACTGAAAGTATTCAGTCTAACCAATGCTAAGCCTGCTTACACTGCTTCTACCATTCCTTCATGTTCCCCTCAGTCTCACACTCTCCACCTCCTGACCAACCCTAGTGGTTCCCCATGTGCTCCTCTCCACCCTCAGCAGAGCAGCAAAGCGTGTCCCTTCCTTATGGGAGATATAGCAGACTCTTTTCTTTTTTTTTTTTGGTACCGGGGATTGAACTAGGGACCTTGTGCTTGCAAGGCAGGCGCCAGAACCACTGAGCTAAATCCCCAGCCCAGCAGACTGTTTTCAATAGCAGTCATCTCTTGATCTGTTGGCTTCACCATACCAGAATAAAAACTTACATTTTAAAAACATTTATAGGGCCGGGGATTTAGCTCAGTGGTTTCGCTGCCTGCTGCGCAAGCGCAAGGACCTGAATTCGATCCCTGGTACCAAAAAAAAAAAAAATTTTTATAAAAATAATGAAAAGATGGATGAAATCAACAATGTATTGTTAAACATCTTCCACATCCCTTCCTTCCTCCATGAATGGCACTGAATTTAGTGTGTTAAAGATTTCGAAGATTTCAGCTGTAGCAGGACATGACATTCTGTCTGGTTTCCATAGAGGTTTCTATATTCACTTCTAAATATCTGCAAAGACTCCTTTTAAGCTTTTGAGTACCATGGGATTTGAGGTACTACTGGCTGTATACCTCATTACTCATATGAGCCCACCTGCTGGGAGATTCTTAGAATCTAAGAAAGGCTGTTATCAGCAGGTTTGTTCGCCTATTTTGTTTTTTTGTTTTTTTTTTTGAGACAGGATCTCACTGTGTAGGTCAGTCTGGCCTTAAATTCACTATGTAGCCCAGGCTGGCCTGGAACTCGCAGCGATCCTCCAGCCTCAGCCTCTTGATTGCTAGGATCACAGGCATGTGCCACCACTCCTGACCTTCCCTGCAATCTCTTGATTGTACCTTTTCGAGCTTCCTCATAAATTCTTGGGATTTTTGTTTCTAAACTAAACCTTCTGAATTTGAACGAGATGAACTAAAAAGGTATTTCTTCCTAGAGAGTCTATAGCTTACAAAGGGCTTTTTGTAATTTTCAGGTGTGCTGTTAGCCTTGCGGTGAAGGAGTTTAAATTCCAACATCTGGAAAGAGGTCTCAGGGCTCTCCTTCTATGTACTTAGCACAGATGTAGAAGTTGAATCAGGTTCCCTCTCTCCAAGTACAGTGCAAGATGATGCGGAGTTTCCAAATACAGTACATGATGCACTAGATGTGTAAGACTGGCTTATCCACCAACCAGGCAGGCAGGCAGGCAGGAGATGGACAGAATCCAGAGCACCATAAATAAGAACAGCCTAATGGTCTACAAATACTTAGGTGGTGGGATAGTTTGTTCTACAAAAATAATAGTTCATGTGACCCGGTACCCCTAATGGGAAACAGCATTAAAAGCAAACTATTTTTCTCACTTGTGACCCATTAATAGTCACTTTTGCTTAACATAAAGTCCCACTAACACCTCAGAGATACTGAACAGATGTAATGTTACTTGCATTGAAAAATTATGTTGTACCAGAAAATATCACATTTATTTGATTTCTCATGTTGGGATCTATTCAGAGCCCTAATTTCATGATCAGTTGTGTCTTACTATATGACTCGTAAACTGAATAACAAGAGTCCTGCTTTGTAACATCGGGCCAAATAGCTCACAATTCCTTTTGGTAATGCTTATCCTTTTTAAGCATACTAGCAAATGAACAAATGCCAGCTATAGCATGTAAGAAAGCACCAGTCTAAATGAATACTTTGTTACATAAGTAAAAATAAATGGGAAAGGGTGGAACTCTTTTTTCCCCCATGGGCAGGGGTGGGGAAGGAACCCAAACTGCCATGCTTTGTAATTCAGTGTGACCTGTGAGTGTTTCATTTATTGTTTGATATTCAGTAATTATATTCCCTTCCCATAGGCCTCCAAATGTTCCCCCTAAGCCCCAGAAACACAGGAAGTCCAGACCCCGCTCACAGTATAATGCTAAGTTGTTTAATGGGGATTTGGAAACATTCGTCAAGGTACTGGCACCAGCCATCTGGGTGGCTGATCTCCACGCTTCTCACTATAATGGTCTTAGCCTCTCATGACATGAGGCAGGTCATTATGTCCAAGTCTGTCCTGGGGCTCTTTGCTTTCCCAGAAAATCAATATAATATTTCCTGAAGTCAGAGAGGAAAGAATATTTGAGTTGAGTGTCTTCAGAAAAGGAAATAAATGTGGATGTTATTATATGGGCAAAAGAGAAAGCCTTCTTTATTTTTTTAGAGCCATAATTAGTATAAAAAGGAAAAGGAAAAAGAGAGAAAATGTTTTATTTCTACTTGTGCAAATGAGATCACATAAAATGTATTTTAAACATCCATTTGTTAGTTACTCTCTGAAGCACAGCGAGAGTCTTGATTTCCCGTGACTTCAGGAATTCATTATATTGGATAAATTGGAAGGCCCTGTAGTCTATTCCCTGTATCTCTGCTGTGTTTATTCTGTCTTCTTTTTCACCCTGTCTTTCTGGTAATGCTTCTAGCAGAGGACGAAGAAACTCGCACACAAGGCATCAGGTATAGTGCTAGAGGGAGGTGAGGGCATGGCCTCCTTCACTGCCGATGTCATTTCCAAGTCACACTCATGCTTGGCTTTAATTAGATTTTTGAAGGTCTTTAAAAGAAAAATGTTTGCAGTTGGAAATTAGACAGAATTATAAATAGGCTTTACTTAGAAAGGAACTATAGAAATCAAACATTAATTTCAGAGGAATAGTCTTCTCCAGTAAAAGCAGATAGATTAAGTTCTCTGTTTTTGCATTATGCACTTGGCAAATGTATGAAATTTGAGTGAAGGGATTTTACAAAGAAACGTAAGTGTTAATACTAAATACACATTTAACATCAGATTATGGATTCTAATGCAAATTACATTTTTAAAAAGGGGCTTTCTTTCTCCTTCATAGCTCACATTTTATAGCATGGGCTGAAGTGTTCTTGAAGACTAAATTTATATGGGAAACCACATTTTTTTAATTACCTCCCTTAATTGGCATGTTACAGATATCTTTCTTTACATATCTGTTTATTGAATATGTGCACTAATTATTTTAAAATAAGCATGTGTAAGTATGTGTGTATAATATGCATGGATAAATAGATGCATACATGCATACATACATACATACATACATACATACATAGAAAGCTCTGGCAGCTGTAAAAATGACTTCTGACTTTGGAATTAAGTGAGAATGACTGGATAACCTAAATGGCAATCACAAATCCATTGCCTTGAGCCTTAAACCCAAAAGAGCCTTATTGGCTCTAATTTAATATACAATTATTATCAAATCTGATTATCTAGCTTCCCAACCCATGGCTTGCTTCTAAGCAGGGGCAAATTAGTTGGAGAGAAGAAAACAATAAAATGAAAGCAGCGAGATGTTCAGCTGATGGCCTGGGAGAGAAGAAGAATGTATAGGAAGCTCAGAGAAGCAGATGTATGGCCGTTATTTTGCTAATACAGTATGAAAATGGCTGTTTAAGATAATAGGAAAGTATGCCAATTATGTTTTTTAAAGATTTTTCATTAAGTACAGTTAAAGGAAACCAAAGTGAGGTAATAATAAAGCAGTTATCGGAAATTCACCTATATGAGTGCTTCATCTCCCCAGATGGCACATGGAGAAATCTTTGGTAGTGACAGTGACACACATAAAAACACAGAGGTCTCTCTCTGCACTTCTGAACAATGCTTGTCCAGATGAGATCTTGTCAGTGTCACTGGGAGAGCACCAGGGTAGAGTCTTTTCCCTGTAAGGAACAGGCATACAAAGGTTTGTTTGCTCAGGGCTGGCATGCAGCCCATTGTGTTTCACTTCTTGTAAAATATATTCTACCCAGGCATCTGGCGTCCATGAAATTACACACACACACACACACACACACACACACACACGCACACGCACATTACTTTTGACCACAGAATTCACTATATCAGAATGAAATACCAGTCATACCTAAAAGATTAACAATCACCTAAGTGATTTTAAAAATATTTTTAAATAGTACGAAAACTTAAGACTTTTATTTAGAACTTTCTTAATGCAAACATTTTTCTTTCAATGATTTTTTTCTGTTTTTCTTTATGTGTTAGTACTAAGTTCAGCAGAAGTGTAAACTAATATTCTCTTTTCATCCCTTGCATTTAAGTATTTGTTGCTCTTTTATATCACAGTGTTACATGAACTGTTCCAATAAAGGTTTCTTCCACTAAAACATGCTTGTATCTTAAAGAAAAATCCCTTCACACATTCAATAAATTTTGATATAGTTACATTGTTATCTTGAGCCAACTCGTCCACACTGAGATGCGTTTTTATTCTTAAGGCTCTTCTTTAAGGAATTAATAAAATTTATGTTCCTAAAACAAATTAACTAATTAGAGAAACTTAGTACAAGTCCCAGAAGTACCTGAGCCATTATATACTGATCAGATTGTCTTAAAACTTAAAAAAAAAAAAAAACTATTCCTTAGGAAATGCATTACTCATTTTACAAATGGCAAAGAATTTAAATTGCTGAGCTGCATTATTCCCAATCTTTCTCCCATGCTTAATTGGGAAGGCTAGTGGGTACTGAGTTGTGCTAATAATATATGGAGGAAACCTGTTTCTTCTTGTGTTTCAAAATAAAATTCCTCATGAATGTACACTTGGTTTCAGCTAATCATTTTTGAATCACTTGTTTTCTTTAAAGATTTAATTCCTGAAAGATCAGAGTCTTAAAAATATAAGAAAAATACATCCATACTCAGTAACTTTCTTTAACTCCATGGAGTGCATGGCATTGACACATAATTAACTGTGGCCTCAGCATCTCCTTCATCTGATTTGTCATCTGATACATGTTTAAAAGCACTTCCAAAATTTACATTTATTCATATTTTATAACATGTGGGAAAAGAAGTTTTAAAAAACCCTTCCTAAGAAAATGACATCTAATGGGATATACATTTGTGCAATTTTTCTTAATCCTAAAACATGAAAAATCCATAAGGATGAGTAAGTTCTGATGCAAACTAACTAAATACATGATACATTTTAATTATCTATGAAACAGTTCCCATAGCAGGTATCAGTAGTTATGTACGCTGTGTACTCTCGGGGACATGGTAAAGAGGATGCAGCAATGGCTGACAGGATCCGTCGTGGGGACAGCCGCAACTAATCAATCCCATAGCATTCTTTATCTGTCTATTAAAGATTGATCACTCATATCAGAACCTTGCAAAAAAATGAGTTATTCATTTTGATATGTAAGCCTAAATATATATAAAAAAAAGATGAGTTAGCGTTTAACATCTCTATTCACTAGGCACAGCAGACTAAGTTGAAACAATATTGCCTTCTTGTACTAAATGTATTTAATTTGGTTTGCTGCAGAACTGAAACATACCTTTGTTTAAATATAAAATCCTTTCACCTTTTTGGGGGGTGTCTTACAAAAGATTTTAGAAGGGGTGGATTTGGAAATGATCATATAAAAGGTTAAAAGTCACTGTAATTACTGTTGAACTGTGACGTTGATTGTTATATGTGATTTAATTTAGACCTTTCCCTTTGAAGTTAACAAATTTCCATCTCTTTACCCAGGACTCAGGACAGGTTATCCCCCTCATAGTGGAAAGCTGTATTCGATTCATCAACCTCTATGGTAAGTCACAAACTACAGAATTCTTATTTTAAAAATAATGGTAAAAGATGTTTCAGTAAACATGTCTTTTCATTTAACACATAATTCTTGGAAAAAGACCTAAAGAATGTGATGGGGTTTCTCCTCATTCTCTTCTGTTGCCTTTAGGTCTTCAGCATCAAGGGATTTTCCGAGTGTCTGGTTCCCAAGTGGAAGTCAATGATATTAAAAATTCATTTGAGAGAGGTAATTGTATGTCTGTATCTATAAGCAAAACATCTTTAAAAGTCATTATTCTGTATTGTGTGCAGTGGCATACTCATCCTGTATATCCTCAAAGCCTTTGTCTTTGCATTTACTTCATTGTGGATGCTAGAGTAATAATCTATTCAGAATAGCTGAAGAATAAGACCCAAATTATAAGTCTTTGTTATTAAAGGGAGATATGTATATGAGTTTTCTATCCTGTTTTAGAATTGAAAGTGATCATCCATGACACATGTGTCAAGATGCCCCTGAAAGGCTTCCAAAAGACACTAGGGTGGCCCTGGCCTAGTCAGCAGGTGTGTGGGGCAGCTCCTCCCAGCTGCCATTAACTCCACTTCCTTTCTTAGGAGCTCTTTTCTTCTTCCTAATACCATTCCCAGACTCCTTCCATATGACCTAATTGATGCCTTATTCATGTTCATAATAGGTTGTTCATAAGTACTACTAAACTTTTAATTAATATATTTTGATTAGCAAAACCATATACTTTAGTGTTAGGAAGACCTAGAATCAAATCAGAATCTCATTTACTAGTAATAGGATGTGAGTTGAGTGACTCAGTTATTAGTTGAGTCTCAGTTTCCTCATCTGCAGAATTGCAGATTATAAAGATTACACATAATCTGTGAAAATCCCTAACTCTTTCATGATAGTTATAAATGCTCTCCAAATATGACAATTTGTAGGGGATCCACTTTGCATACAGCTGTTACTTCCTTCCTATGTTTGGAGGTTAAGGCAAAACTGCAGGGTGGTCATCCCATGGAGAACAGCTACTTTCTCTATTTCCCCTGGTTCCATGTGGCATAGAACCCTCTCAAGTTTAAAGCCTTGGGTGAAGAGGTAAACTGAAGCCATATTACTTTTTCCTGTTCCACATTTTCTGGCCAATAGATATTTAGAGCAGAGCTGTATCCCTGTCAGCAGCTAAGTGTGCCACCTCTCTGATATTGACCCTATCCAAGATGACAAGAGGAAACGTGGTGAAGCATCAGGTTTTTGTGCCAGCTACTACAGGCAGAATGTTCTATTTTTTATTTGTTTACAATATCTTTGGGTATGGTTTTCTCACAGTAGACAACAATAATTCTGTTGCCCTAGAAGTAGGGAAAAGGCACAGGGGGCGGGGTGGGGGTGTCCTCTGCAAATAAAGTGTCCATACAGGCAAGCAATATGTTAAAATACAATAGGGGCCAAGGATTTAGCTCAGTGGTTCTGCCGCCTGCCTCCCAAGCACAAGGTCCCAAGTTCGATTCCCGGTACCAAAAAAAAAAAAATACAGTGCACATTCTGAGAATTTTAGTAGACTTCCGAATTTTTTAAAAAGAGTATGATTTAAAGCTACATATTATGTTGGGCTTTTTAAGGATTTTATCTCAGGTTAATTCTCAGAAAGGTGGAATAGCCAATGTAGTTTCCTAGTATTTTTAAACTGTTTGCCACAAAAAATATAATTTTATATTGGTGATACATTTTTTTAATATCCATTTTTCATACAAATGCCTTTATACCACCAAGGGTACATTAGTGGTACATTAATTCAAATTCCTCCACCTGATTTCAGAATTTCCTACTGTTCTGAGTGGCTTTTAAATGTGCTGTGAACGCTACCATGCTACTTTGGGAAACATCTGTTATTTAATTGTAGACATTCACAATTCATATTTGATTTTTTTTTTTTTTGTACCCAGGATCAAACTCAGAACCTTGCACTTGCGAGGCAAGTGCAGTGCCACTGAGCTAAATCCCTGGCAATAATTGATATGTTTGATAAATTTTGCTGACCCATAAAGCATAGCTAGACTGTGTCTTTTTCCCAGTAGGATAAGACATAGAATGTAGTTTTTGAAGCCATGTCAAACTATTACCAATTTTAGCTTTAAAAAATGTTTGGTTAAATTATAAATACCACAATGTTTTACTTTAAGATTTGGGCAACTTGAAAGGGAGTATTTGGTAGCATAAGTTTTTTTAAAGCTTTATGTTAGCTAACTGTTTTTAGGTTTATCATGGGGTGGGATATCTAAACCAATTATTTTAATTTTAGTATCATGTAATCTTTCATAAAGAAAAATTAAAAGATTTATGTATATATAGGAATATCAATGTGTGTGTATATATAGAAATATATTCTTGTTGAGAGAAAAAAAAGAGAAGCACTGTGTATCTAACTAATTTTTTTCTAGGTGAAAATCCTCTAGCTGATGACCAGAGTAACCATGATATTAACTCAGTGGCTGGCGTTCTGAAGCTCTATTTCCGTGGGCTGGAAAACCCCCTCTTTCCCAAGGAAAGATTTAATGATCTGATTTCTTGTATTAGTAAGTAGATTCTTTTTTTCTTAGTCTTTGCCACCAAAATTATTTCACTAACCAACTTCCTGGAAAAGATAGCAGTCCTCCTTCACATACTCCTCCATTACCCCATTACCACCATATTTCTGAGGCCATTTGTTTTCTTTCTGGATACAGCATGAGTCACCCTCCGAGCTGTGGCCTTACCCGAAGCTGAGTGGGCTTTGCTTTGGGCTGAACATCTTTATGCCCCATAGAACCAAGAGCTGACAGCTTAGTTGCTAGAGTAAAGCAGAAAAGCAGGTGCCAGCTGCCTAAGGGAAAAGAGAAAGTTGTAACATGGAAATGGAGTCATTTTTGGCTTTTGGTTTTTTATTTTTATTTTTTATTTTTTTTCCATTGTGAAACATTTTTGTTTTGCAGTATTAAGCTTGATTAAAATCAGTGCAAAAAGATACTAAGTACATAGGGTAAAAGGACTAGCTGTTTCAGTATGTGTCTTTTACAATTCAGGTAGGACAATGGGCATATAAATCAACATCTCTAACTCAAGAATGTAACTGAAGGGTGAGACACAGATACCGCGCAGAATCTACTGGCCTCCAAAAGCATTCAGGGAATCATCAAATATGTTGGACACCTTGTATTTTGATTTTGGTTCAGGTGTAGTCTGTGCAGATTGGTTTTTTGGTTTGGTTGTCTTAGTCTGGAGATCAGAGGAGAAGATACCATCTATATTATCATCGAAGATAGACTTAGCTTCCACTTTATTTTTGGACTTTCCTTTTGGTTTTTTATTTTTCTCAACCAGTTTTAGAAACAGACTAAGTTTCTAAATTTCTTTGAATGTTATTTGGAAAAATAAAGTAAAATGGAATAACAGTTTATATTAGGGTACAGGAACACCAGGTAGCAATTGGATGTCAACAGGCATCCCCAGCTCATAGGCAAAGTTGCTCTGGGACTGTATATGATAATTATAAAACCAGTAATCAGCAAAGTGAAGCATTGCTGTTTTCTTCAGTGCAGTCTTACAGCAGTACACAAAAGAAAATACCAAGAATGAATTATTAAGCACAGTTAGGTTCTGTGACTGTAAAATTGCAGTGTCCCTCTAAGTCCAAGTTTCCAGGTAAGAGTCTATGGCTGACTTCAACCATATAGGCTTTCATAAAAATCAGGCTTTACACTCAGTGGAGAAAACTCCCTTGCCCCACCCCGAGCCATGGGATTAATAAATCCCATTGACTTGACTGCAGAGAAATCTCTTTTCTCATCCTTACTTCTCCATCCTCATACTTTGGTTTCTCACTGGAGCTATTGTAATCTCTGTAACTCCTTAGTTCTAGCTTTTGTCCTCCCTCACCAAATCCCACTCTGCATCATTCCATTCTCTATATCACAACTAGATTCAAAAAGGAAAATGACAGTGTTTGCTCTCTCTCCTGTTTGAAACCTGTTTTAGTATTTCCCACACTCCTTGGTATGGCCAGTTCACAGAACGGAATTCCTTCTCCATCTGATCTCTTCCTGCTGCTATGCAACCATCTCCTGCCTCCTCTAACGTATTTTTTGGTAATGTTGAAATATCCAGGGCAGTATAGCAAAGTGCACACGTGCCAGGCCTCTTCCTACCCCCATGCCTCTACCCAGGCTATTTCCTCTACTGCCTAATAGTCATCAACATCTGCTGTGAAGGTTTAGCTGAAATGGCACTTCCCCCAGAGCACCCGTCCTCCCTGTCACCCCAAGTGAATTAATCACTTTCTCCTTTACGAGTGTCCACTGTGTTCACGTATCTCTTAATTTTTCTTATTTCCCTACATTATAATTTTTTACTCATTCTGTCTCCTTACACTAGAGAGGTATTTTAAGGAAGAGGTCAAAAACACAGGTTCTGGTCAGAGACAGCTCAGATTCAAACCATAGCTCCACCGCTTGCTCACCAGCTATGTGACTATGGGCAAGCTTATTAAACTCTCTGCACTTCAATGTCATTGATAAAATAGGCAGAACATTAGTCTGTTCCTCACAGAATTATGAGATCTAAATGAACTAATACATGTAAAGTACCAAGAAGAGTCCCTGGTTTGGATCATGCTCAATAACATGGCCACAATTAGCTGCACGGGCCTGGGAGATCCTGAGGTCATACTCGTTTTCATAGTGCTAACACTTGGCACAGGTAATTCCAGGTGCATAGTAAATGTTCAGTACATTATTGTTAAATAGAATGCAAGTGAAGTGAAGACTCAGGATTCTACCAAAAGTTCTTTTGTTAGCATCTGTGCCTAAAGTCCTGTCTTTGGTTGGTATCAAGTCCACAGTTATAATTCTCTCCCCTCCATCAGATATCCTGTGTGGAATGTAGAAGTATGCCTGTGTGTCCATTCCAAGGTTCTTGTGTAGCCTGAGTCATCACAGCAGACCTCTGACCTAGCTGGAAAGAACTGAAAAGGAGTTGTTACGCTTCTGGAATTCTCCTTTGGCCATGTCCAGAGTTCCCTCACATCCTAGCTAGATAAGTTAGGTCTGGAAAAATAATAAATACTCCACAACACTTAGGGGTTTTCTAGGTCTATGTGAACTTTAATGTTTACAAGTAGTACCACTTCGATAAAGAACACTGGACCACATTGTCAGTTACTATTATAGAATCATTGTACACTTTCATGAATTAAAAACACTACTTCATTGTAGTTATTAATAACTGAGGTCATAGGGTCAGAATTTAGGTTCAAATCCTAGCTTTACCAGCTCTGTAAATTTGGGCAAAGATTAATACTTAATCTCATTAAATAGCTGTTTCTTCATTCACCTCATAGAGTCTGTGTGAAGAATAAGTGAGATAATCCACTTAAACTGTTTAATATCATGCCTGGCCCTGTAGTGAGCCTCAATAAATGCTGCTAGCTGTCATTGTTACTACTATTACAGCTGTTCCTACTGCAAACTCATGCCGCCTATGCCAATACCTGGTTTAACCACTTACCAATCTTGTATTCTGGCAAACATGTATTTCTTTGACATAATTACATCAGCTGCATTTAGAAATGATGCTGCTGTAACCCAGAAGTTGTATTTGTCCCAGCATGGTTTTTTCCCAACACATTGAATGTTTTGTAACAAAGTCAAGCTTTCTCACAATTAAAGTCATGTTTACAAAATATGTAGACCATAGGAGAAAATAGGAAATATACACAGGTATCGTCCATGGAGGTGGTGCCTGACATACTGCAAGTACAGATGGAGAAGCTTCCAAAACATTTTCCTCTTTATCAAAACAATAGACTAATGCAAATCAATGAATTAATAAATTTCCAATTAATTTGGATGAAAATAGTGTATTAGAAATTAGGGCTGGGGATTTAGCTCAGTGCCTGCCTCCCAAGTGCAAGGTCCCGAGTTCTAGCCCCGGTACCAAAAAAGAAAACTAATGCCCTTCAGAACCTATATCTTGAAAGAAGCAGGAGCCTTGAAGTTCAAGGCTGCAAAGAAGTTATACCTGCCAGTTAAGATTTAATTATGCTGGCATTTTTCATAGGATATTAATGTTTTTGTTAGTACTCTAGTTCCCAAGATTCATAGGTACTGAGCAGCTTATGTCAACCCTATTTTTCCTATACGTCTTATTTTATGTGTAGATAGGATGACTTTTCAAGAATACATTGGCACTAACAACCTCTTTGTATAATACCTCCTTTATATAATAATCCCTTTTCTTCTAAACTCTAACCTCTTTAGAAAGACAGGATTACTATTACTGATTTATCTCAAGGCAAGCATTTCCTTTTACTGACATGACAATAATGAATTTGCATTTTTCTTAGTTCTCACTATTCTTTGAGAATGGCATAATATATCACTTATCGTTGTATCCCCTCATTGATATTATATGATATCAAATCATTTTGATGACTGAATCTAGTTGATAGATTGCCTGCAATATGCAAAACATTCTGAAGACTTGATTCTTGCATTTAGGAAACTTAAAAGCTAGGAAGAAACAGAAGATGTTTGTGAATAAAAGCAGTCTAAGTTAGTATATGATAGAAACATCAAGAATTAGAAATTTTAGGGAAGAGAGGTTTCAGAGTGATAGATTGTTTTTACCCAGGCCATCTTGTAACATTGCCATAATTGGGCCTGATTTTCCCTGTTAAGGTAATTTCATGTGACAGTTACTTTGTATTGAAAAACATCTTCCCTTTTCATCTTTTCTAGAAGGTTATGTAAGTCTCTGTAGCACCCACTACTTTTTGCTTTCCTATTTTGGCATTGTTTGAGGGAAAGAACTCTGTGTGTGTTTGTGTGTGTGTGTGTGTGTGTGTGATGAGTTATTATCCTGCCATGTTGTGCCCCTAAATAACCCCATTCTTTGGAAATCTACAAAACATATATATAATAAAAGGCAGGAATGTATCTAAACATTTATTTTTAAAATGGACAATATCCATTCTCTAATTCACTGCAAATTTATTTTAAAAGATCACTTATCTGGATGAAAACAGTGGAATCAAGTGCAGTATAAATTGGCAATGACAAATTTAGTAGTTTCTCACCCAAGAATTGTTCGGATTTTTGTTCTTTGGGTTCTTTTAACCATCCACTTTATGAATGGTTTTGTGAGTGCTCCAGGTCATACCCACAAAGTCTGGGCAGCTTCCAACACATCCATATATCACAGCTCTGAGATTCCCTAAGGCGTAAGTCCAAGTAATTACTCAAGTAATTCATGGTTTTTCCTGGCTTCCTCAGAGCTGTGAGCCCAGATGAAACATTTGCCCTTCATTTTGCATAACGTGTTATTATTTAGGTGACTATTTGGACATGAGAAAACATTTTTATAGATTTTTTTCCAATCACAAAGCCAACCTTCAAGTCATTGTAGAGTACTTGAAAAATACACCAAAGCACATAGGATAGAATACTCCCCTCATAATGTTACTACCTAAAGAGTATTAAGTAGTATTAGCTACATTTCTGTCTAGGCTGTTTTTATATTTATGTGCACAGGACTTTTTTTA